AATGAGTGTACCTCTGTGAAATAAATAAATATATAAATAATGTTCTTACATATATAAAATATATTTTTATGACTATGGTATTACAATGTTTTATGAAATATTACTGCGAATAGACACTGAGCGCAATTGTTGGCCAGCTCGATTAGCTCTTAGAAACGCATCTGGCTGACTAATAATATTAATCGGAATCATTAAGAAAACGACAAGTTATCAATGACGACCCGATTCCGACATATCCACGGTGACAATATGTTTACTGTGCATATCGTCGCATATCCTATGGTTCGCGACAATCGGACGTTACACACGCATCGCCCTCGCCAACGTATTCGATATGCACGCATTATAAAACGATCACTTGGCGTCGAGTTTATAGGTTGCCATTAAAGAAGAAAGTGTGATATCATCTTATGAATACGTGGACAAGCGTAAGACGCGTGCTCGTCGTGCATATGCATGCAGATAAGCACGATAAGCCGGGGAACAGGAACGCGATCGGATGTGCGTAGCGCGATGCGAAACTTCGGGAAGAAGGGAAGAAGTGATGAGATCGGATGGAAGTACACATACTAAAGAATGCGCTAATGGAAAACCGATAGTGGATGACGACTCCATACCTGTCGTTGAGCTGGTCGTCCGTCCCTGGGAGGGGATGTACGACGAAATGAATCGAGGACATAATGTATCAGATCGATGCTCGCTCTCGCGGTTTTAGACGCCTTTTATCCTTAATGTACACAAAAATTCATTGCACCAGCAGAACACGATGGTCAGCCATGTTTCCGAAGAAACATCCAGTTACGTGTTCGCGAAGACGAATATGGACGACCCCACTGTTACGTTCCCAAACGCACGAGCGGTCGCGCCACTAGTAGACTCTTGTCAGATCTGTTCTTTATAGATATACTGATGGCTCCTGCACACAGGATGCGGTAACGCCTGCCGCACGGCGGAAATCCGCACGACAGCCAATCAATATGTTGTTTTTCCGTAAGAGCTAGAAGATTACTACAGAAAGCAGCATATTAATTGGCTGTCACGCGAACTTCCACCGCGCGGCAAATGTTACCGCGTTCTGTGTGCAGGAGCCATAAGAGCCATTGCACAATTCCAGGCTACAGACAATAGGAATAAACATTAGCCATTAGGAATAGGAAATAGGAATTCGAATTGGTCAATTATTTCTATTCCCTGTTTCTATTGTTTATTTCTAATGCCTATTTCTATTGCCTAGAGAACCTCTAGTACAGAGAATACCAACTTGGTCATGTAACCAGCTATTCAGCTACTCTGCGATTGGCTGACATAAACATGTATGGACATTGCGACGTCGATGCAAAACCATATATATATACAGAGTATAGCAAAAGTACCGGAACGGCAAGATAACTCGGCGGGGGAGCATTTTAGAGAAAAATGTTTCAGACAAAAGTTGTAAGGCTTAAAAAAAACGCATTCAACGATAGTAGTTATTTGACATAGGATGGCGTCGCCAAGGTCAGGACAAGGTCAACTTTGCTTTTTTTAAATAGAAACATATTTTTTATTACGGCATTTTATTCAACGTAAAAACGCAAACAACTTTTGCTTGAAAAATTTT